TTTAATACATATGGGATATAGGAATTTGAGAAGGCTGAGGAATAGATTATTGATAAGCACCAAGCATAGGAGAGGAAATTACTTATTAAGGAATTGGATATCCATCTAAAACAGGTAAACGAACTTATTTATTTTCTATCAGTAGTTAAGGATTCAATTCAAATCCATTTTGACAATATGCTATTAATTTCATGATTGTAAAAAACTCTTAAGTATAGAGTTTATTTTCTTCATTTCTTACAGCCATCAACCAAATTGTTTTTAGTTTATCTGATGGCAATTGACTGCTTTTGAAAAATTATATAGTCTCTTTGGCATTAACACTTCCAATACCCTAATGATTTAATTCTTTGATTTACTTAAGGATCAAGAATGCTCCAAAGTTGTCTAAAATATTGATCTTCTTCTGGAGTCAATTATAAATTATTCATTAAAATTAAATGTTATCTAATAATCCAAATATATAATAATTAAAATCATTAAGTGACATTATTGATTTTAATATATAAGAACATAATCTATAAAGAGACATAAATTGGATATCTTTAATATAATTGAAGTCGTTAAAAATTGAAATTAATCATTTAAGTTTAATTATAAATATATATATATATATAAATAACTAAATAATCAAATATTTTTATTAAAAATTAAAGCTATGAAATAAATTAAATAGGTTTTATATATCTACTTGATTATTATGTAAGATAAATAATTATATATAGTCCAATATTGGGATAAAATAATGAAAAAGAGACAATAGTTTCAAATTCAATAGAAAATAATAATGTATGTATTAATGCTTTTCTTGGAATTTTATAGGTTTGAAAATGGCAAATTTATTATTCTTTTAATATTTTTGGCATTGATATGTCGTTATTTATATACAAGGAAAGTTATTTAAAAGATTGGTGAATTGATTATTAGTCTTAAAATTCTTCATTAAAATTAATCATCATAGTAAATTCCAGAAAATGATGAATATTATAAAAAAAGTATTGTTTATAATTTAGTAATATTAGGTTCAATTATTAAACAGTTGAAAAAAGTTATGAAATTTTTAACAAACAAATTCAAAAGAATAAATGAATCATAAATAGATGTTTCCAAGAAATATAGCCAATTTGATATGGAAGAATCTATTTGATATTTACAATAATATATAATAATATACACATAAAAATGATTATCAATTCTTTCTTTTCTTTTTTTGATTTTTAGTATTACTGTTATTTTAAACTTCTTCCTTTTTTATTTTTTTAGATTTCTAATCCTTTTTTTATACAACTTCCTATTTTTATAACTATTATTGTGCTGGAGGATTACTATCTGGTTTTATATTAGGTATTTTATCTAATGGTTCCTCTTTATTTAAACAGTTTTCACATTTGCATAAATCAGTACATTTTTAATTAATACTATAGCATTCACAATATTTCTTTTTACATTCTGATTTCTTACAATTACATCCTTTTTTAGTTTCCTTACTTTATTCTTTCTATGATTTTGGTTCTTGTTGTAATTTAATTATATACCTGGAATTATTTATGGTTATTAACCATTGTTAGTTAGTATTGCAGAAAAGGCTTCAGGATTTCTAAGTAAGGCTTCTTCTATAGCTTTTGATCTTTCATTAGGATTATCAATTCTATTTTTACATTCAGTACAATTGCAGCTTTATGAACAGACCTATAGAATAAAATGAATGATAACCCAATTATTGGCAAAGCATTCACAATATAATTTTAAACATTTACTTTTTTTGCAATTACATTAAAAGGGAGATACTTTTTAAAATTGCACAAGTTGATTAACTTTGGATTGAAGTTCTTTGGATAGGGTGTTTTAGTATTAAGATGAATCAAAAGCGGGATAATAGAATGGAGGATATGGATGTCTATACCATGGATGAGGATAGGGCACAGGATATTTCATATGCATATAAGGGATATTTTGAGGATATTTCATTTATGGGGGGATTTATTAATAGTAGTGATTGTAAGGCTGTCGAAATTGATCATCTTCTTCTGGAGCATCACCTGCAGATAATTTTCGAAACGGGTATTTTGGTTTGTTTTTATCTTAAAATTCAGGCTCTGCATGAAGATTAAAGTTTGACATATTTTAAGCAGGAAAGAGATAACATTGTTATGGAGTGAATCTTGGAGATAAGGATGGAGGTTGTTGTGGCCATTCTTAATCATAATAGTGGAGTTACTTTTCGACCTTATGTTCATTGGAATTGTGATCATCTTAATTCATAATAAATTAATTAAAAATTAATAATGGCAGCCATCAATAAGGAATAAGTTGATATGGATAATCCAGCATTTGCATAATAAGATCCACATCTTAAAATAAATGACGATGAAGAAATGGGATTACCACCTTAATTTAGAAATCGTTACCCAAGAAGACCACCACTATTTGATGGCTTATTAAACAATGTTAGAGCTGTTACAAAGAAAGTAGAACACATAAAAGGATTTAAATTTGAAGTAGCAGGAGGATTGTCAAATAATTTTCATTTGGCACATTCATGGATGATACCACCATCAGTATGATAACATACAAAATCATTAGAGTAAAGGCAAAGCTCCAAATCCTAATCCTATGAAATAACCACCTGTTCCAAGCTATACTTTGGCTGCATAATATTTGGGTGGCTCTCTTAAAACACCTTTTGATCAACCTACATATATAATGACTGGAAGATGGGATTCAACTGGTAAATTAGAAGCTGCTATTATCAAGAAATTAAATGAAATGTTCAATTTTAGGTAAATATTAAAATCTATTAATATCTAAAGATTTAGTGCATTTTATTTAAATTCTGATCCTTTGAATGCTTAAATGCATTTAGATTGTGATATAACAGGAGAGGATTATGTTCATTCAATTAAAATTGGTACAGGACTATATAGTTTCAATATGATGTAAACAATAGGAAACAGACTAGTATTAGGATATGAAATGATGACGCTGGTATCCTTTTATATATATTAATTTCAAGACAGAAAGAAATCTATCATTAATGAGTTATGCTATGAAATTTGGTATCAATAAGAAATAGAATTTTTATACTTAATATGTTGGAGCTGCTGATTAATTAATTTTGGCTTATAATCACAGAGTAACAAATTAATATCGAAAAATAGTTATTGGATAAAGCATATTTTATGTCAGAATTAGAATATTCAAATTAAACTGGAGAATCAAGAGCTATTCTTGTAAAAGAATAAATTTATGATGTTAGGGTTATAGACAGAAATTTGCAATTTCAGAAGTTATAGTGACAGTGAATTCAAATTTGAAATTCAGTTCTGCACTAACACTTTAAGGATTTGCTTATTAGTTGAAATTATGTGCAATTGCAGATTATAAAAAGGATAGCTATAAATTTGGATATGGGATAGCAATGGGTTAAGTTTGATAACTAGTATATTAATAAAAAAATAATTCATCGTAAATTTTTACTAAAACTTTTTGATAGAGTTTCTTATATTCTTTTGTTTAAATTTATTAATTTTTAATCTAAACCATCTCCTTTTTAACTATTAATTTTTATTTCCATATTTTCTTAATTATTATTATTTAAATCTGAATTTCTTTTACATTTTTACTTATCTATTTATTAAATAATATTGGACTACTATTCTGATAATCCAATTTATTTCTCTTTATTTTATTGAAGGATTTGTTAAAACTCTATCCAATCAGGTCTTTTTTCATTATCTAAATCAACCATCAATCTTAAAACATTTTCAACTCTTCCTGGATATAACTTTCCTAATTTCTGAAGATTATCTTTTAATTAATCACATTATAACACTCCTTAATTATATATATCTTTGCAATCTTTTAATAATGCCAAAGATAATATTATCATACTAAAAAATTAATAGTATTAATTATTACCCAACACCAAACACATCATGTTTAAATCTATTTGATTTTGAATTTGTTTAATTTTCTGGAGGTTAAAATTCATTGCAAAAAAGATGTGGTGCTTTTGCTCTAAATGGACTTACATCTTAAACTCTATATAATAAGTATTCCTCATCAAAATATATTGATTCAAGTGTCAATGCAGAATGTGATATTCCTTTTTTTTATAAGAATAACAATGCATCTGATAAACCTATAATCATTTTCCATATCTCTTCTTCAGGAACATATTCATTATTTTAAGATCTTTTTTCTATTAATTATTTCACATCTAAAGGTAGATATTCATAATAAATTCTGAATTCTTTTGTTTGAGCAAATTTATCACTGCAATCCTAATAAAACAAAAAACAAATTAAATTAGGATGTTTCCATTTTGTTCTCTCTAATATAGCACTTATTTCTGCTTAATTTATAATATTAGTCCAACAACAAAGATATTTTGCGAAAGGATCAAGTCTGTATATTGATGATGTTGATGTTATGTCAATGACATGAATTAATGATGTGTAAGCAGATAACATATAATCTTTTGGATTTTCATTAGGTAATCTTTATCTTGGAACATCTTGTACAACAGGATTGTAAGATGATGTTATTTTGGTTATTGTTTAGGTCTACTTTTGTTACCCAATATAATATTCAGGGTACATTCTTGTCTGTTAAATTAATTTCTAATATTCAAATTTATATAAATAATGTTTTATTAAAATAAGTATAAAAATCTGAATTATTTTAAGCATTATTATTTATTCAATATTTTCTATTTCATTGAAATATTATGATTTTTCTATTCATTGAATATTATTCATATATCCAAAAATTTATTTATTTTCCATAATTGTAAATGTAATTATATCAACATATTTCATTAAAGAATATGTCATATCTTTTATCAGAATATTTAATAGAAAATTAACTTATATTTAAATATGAATTATTTATATTTTGTTGTATAATATTTAATTTTATTGAACACAATTCAATTAAAAAAAAAGATGATAAAGTTAACTTCTTAGAAATAATTTGTTTTTATGCTATTCATACTTGCAATGTAAATTTATACTACAAATGGCACCCAACATTTAAGGGATCATATTGATAGTAATGATATTATTAAATCAATAGATAAAAAGCATTTGTCTTCTAGCAGCCATGGAGGTGGTAGTCCTATAGCAGCAATATTTTTTGGAGGATTATTCATAGTTGGTGCCTTTTGTATGCTATGGTATAATGAAAGAAGGTAACTATTTATAACTTAACAACCTTAAGATAAGCTATAACGGAATACAGAATAAATCAAGCTTATAAGGAATGTACATCAGTTAATTCAGCAGAAATTAATCCTAACACCAATAATAAATTAATTCATACAAATGGTTATATTATAAATTATCTCTAGGTCAAAGTCATACCAATTCTTTAATAATTGATGATATCTTTGGACTCAAATTAAGTGATTGTGTCAAATTAATAAGAACTGTTGAAATGTTTTAATGGGTTAGAAGATCAAGATAAGAAAATAACAGAACCACTTATTATTATGAATAAATATGGAGTTCAACTTTTCATGCAGAAGTCGGTGATGGATACTTTAATGATTAATCAAAATGGATTGTATAAGCTTAAGATTAAATTAATGAAAATGTATATGTTGGAGCTTATTTATTAACAAAATCATTGGCTGAACAAACAGATGCAAATGAAATTATTAATTTAACTACTGAGCATGCCTAAAATGTAGCTAAATATTTTTAAAATTAAAGAATATTTTAACATTTGTAAATAATATTAAATATAATATTAGTGATGCTTAAGGAAAGGAAATGTATTTCTAATAAGAAAAAGGAAGAATTATCAACAATGATCTTAGAGTCTCATTTCGAGCTGCAAGAATAGGTCCAACAACAGTAGTTTCATAATAATAAAATAATACTTTCACTCCTTTTATTATTCATGATAAATATGAATAAACTTTAAATTAGGATGGTGAGAATATAGAAAATTCTAATCCTTTTGGAATATTAAGTTGCTGTTGTTGTTGTTGTTTATGTTGTTGCTAACTTTGTAAAGCCATAGAATAACCATTATCAGAATTGAATTTGCTTTATTAAGTTATCTTAACATAATAATAAGTTTTTAAGAAATTGGCTGAAGAATATGCTTGTTTAACTCTTTGTCAGAGGATCACTGGATATATATTAATGGTAAATATCAATCATATTGTTAGGGTTTTGGTTTTTATTTAATATTCTATCCTGTAACATGGGTTGTATCTATAATTCCTTTAATAGGTGAATTTTTAGCTGCTATAACAGGATTTGCTTTTTTTTTGGTAAGTTTTTTAATTTCTATCCCCTTTTCTATTCTAACAATTGCACTTGCATGGCTTTTCTATCATCCAAAGTATGGAATTGCATTAATAGCATTATCTGGTTTGATTGGAACTGCCATCTATTTTTATTTAAAAAGTTAATAATGATAAGATATACAATATTATTTAAAACTAATCAATTTTATTTAAATCAGAATTTTAACAAAATTTTTTTTAAGATTCTAGAGTTTTGTAATTGAATTAATTTCATAAAAATCTTAATATGCTTTATTAAGATAAAATGTAATTAATTTATGCAAGAAACTAAAACAAATTTAAAAGGTTTTAGAACAATAATTGCTTAAAAAAAGGATAGAATATCTCATAATTACTAACATTCAATTTAAAATAGATCCTTTTAAATTGAAGGTACTAAAGTATTAAATCAAACAAATCAGGTTGAATAATAAAAAGAAAATGAGACTAAAATGCCATCTAAATATAAATTCTAAAATTTATTTAGATAACATAGATTATCTTTGTAAAATGAAAAATATAATAAAATTTTGAGTAATACTCAATTTACAAGAAGGAATTTTACTCATTAAAGACCATCTGTTTTAAATGTTGAATTTTCTATAGATTAAAATATTTTAAGAAATAAATCGATTGAAATGAATTCATTAAAGAGACCTTAAAGGATTAAACAAAAGAAAATAGATGCAGAAATGAATGAGAGGGAAAGATTTTACACAGTATAATTTATTACAAAATCTGAAGGAAAATATGAAAATAGAAATCTTTTAGAATTGAATGTACTCAAATATTAAAAATTATCTCATTCTCCAAAATATAGTAACAGATAACCAAAGAAAAATATTAAATACTATGAAAATAAAAAGAAAGAAAAAAATTCAAATATAATTTTGCAAGGTATCCTTTGATATTGTATTTTATAATACTCATTCTATTATTTATAATATTTAACAATCATATAAAGTGAATAATAGTAAAATGTTTTGATAAAATACTTTTAAATGTTTTATTTCTATTTTCAAACTAAATTTCTATATTCTGTATTATTTAAATATATAAAAATTATTAAACTTTAAAGATAATTTTAGAATATCTAATGATTTTCAAAAAAATCATATGATTAAAGATTAAAATATAAATTGAAACGAATTTATTTATTATAATTGTAATCATTTTATTCATTCTTAGACTTCATCATCAACATTATATTACTTTTAAAAATTTACAAACCGATCAATTGTACATTAATCAAATTCGTCTATATCATCACTTAAATTTGATGAATTTGGTTAATCAACAAGAAAAGGAGATTCCTCTTAATTTTAACATTAATTTTAATTAACTCCTTTAGTTTCTCCTAGATTAGTGGAAAAGAAAATGCTTTTTTTTGTTGGAATTTTCAAAAAACTATTTGCTGAATCTGCTTGTTAAAGATCACATTTTGAATCAACAGAACGATTATTCTTGATTGTAATAGTTTATGAAGATCCCAAGAGAATATTTCTTTGTTTATGACTGTTTTTTGAATATTTAGATGATAATCGAGGCATATTTTTTCTTATTGCCAATTTTCTTAATGATTTCTTTCGAACTTAATCATCATCAACAATTTAAAACCACTAATGTTTTAAAGCAGCATCAGGATGAGGTCTAAATGTCCAATCTTTTTACAATAACTAAATTATTAAATCTTTAGCTTCTTCTGAGACTTACTCAAATAAATCATTTGGAAATTCTATAGCTGCTTCTTTAATTTTCTCAATTAAATCATTTAAACTATAATATTAATATAATAAATTACTAATCTGATAAAAAAGGCAATTATCCTGAAAGCATAGAATATAATATACAACCTGCACTCCACATATCAACCATTTAACTAAATAATATAATAATATATTACTTATAACCTTCTCCTGAAAATATTTCTGGTGCTGAAAATGCAACAGTTCCAGTATATGTCCACATTTCAATTTTTTCTCTATCTTTTAGATCACCAAATTCTTTATAAGCATCACTAAATTTACTTACATTAAAATCAGTAACTTTGATCTAATTTTTATCTATTGAATTAATATAAATACTTTCAACACACAAAATATTATTAGGTTTCAAATCTCTATGACAAATTCCATTTCTATGCATATATTCAATTGCACTCAATAACTACTTAAACAATTCCTTAGCATCACTCTCACTATAATGTCCTAATTCATTTATCACTTCAAACATTTCTTTGCCCTTAATCAATTCCATAACTACATGAGCTTTACTTTCAGATTAAAACCCATTATTAAAATCAACATATAATTTATGAACTTTCACAATATTTTCATGTTATAACTTAAACATTGATTTAAACTCAAGAATCATCTACTTTTTATTATAATCATTTACATTTCTTATTATTTCATCATCTTATGTTTAGACAATCTTCACTGCATACTCAATTTATGATTATTTGTGTACAATCCTTTTAACCAAACCTAGACAACCTTCTCCTAAAATTTCCATCATTTCATATTCTTCATCAAATTTTTTTAGATTAGGACATATGTACTCTGAATCGAATTCATTAATTTCAACATCCAATTTACGCCCTAACTCCTATAGTTCCTCCAATAAATCCTTTTCATCATTTAAAGGTTTCTTTATTATCAATTGAATCCTTCCTAATAATGCTATTACTATTATGTACCTCTTAATTGTTACTTGATCCTGTCCCTGTTATTTTATGCTTAAGTTTATTTATCTTCTGACTCAGATTTCAGAAAAGTAAATCTTCCACTTCCCTTCTTCTCAGTGGTTTATAGTCTTGGAGGCAATCTTTAAGTTTCAAATACAGAAGATTCACTGAGTGTTATTTATGACAATTAATCTAGCATAATACAGTAAAATATTTTATAAAGAAATTTGTTACAGTGAATTTAAAGTCTTCTTAATATGTTAGATACCAATTCACTTAAAGATTCATTAAATATTTTACACATTAACTTTTGAATTCATAAATGATAAATATAAATTTAAACAAGAAACTTAAGAGTTTTTAAGGTATCTCATCAATTTTTAATAAACTTATATTAAAGATTGAATTAAACATTCTAAACAACTTTTTCACTATTAATGATAACTTTTATTCATACTTTAAATATATTTATATAAACTTTTTATTTTATAATATTAATTATAAAATTACTAACTTCAAATAGAAATGGAATTAAATACAGATCCAATTATTTTATAAAATTCATCTACTGTCTCCTTGAGGTATTTATTATTTGCTACATCAAAGTGAATTTAAACCGAAATATTCTCAAGTTATTTATTCTGGATCTTAAGTGGCATCATCAAAAGAATAGTAGATAAATTAAGGAAATGAAAATGATCCTAATAAATAAAAATAAACCCCATTAATTGAAAAAGAAATTGAATTTAGAAAAATATTCTCAAAGTGAATGAATATTTATTTATGCTTAGATTTGCTGTGACAAATGCAATATTTGGGATTTATTATCTACTAATTCTAATTTTTAGAGGAATAATATTAATTGAGAATAATTATGTTATAGGTGTAGTTTTATTACTTGTTAGGTAATTTTGAAATCTAATTAGTTATACTATGTGGGGAATAACATTTTGTATTGCTATCAAAACATTCAAAGATTAAAGATCTTCATAACTAATTATATATCAAGCAAATTTGTTTTTTGTAGGTATTATTGACTGTTATGTATAATCCTTAATTTTTTCAGCATTAGAAAGTGAAAGGGTTTTTTATGTTTTTTTCTTTGTGAGTCTTTGGATAGCAACAATAGTCTTTTTGATAACATTATTTTGTTATTGCAAAACATCAAAAGATTTGATGATTGTAATAAAATACTTAAAACTTGAGTATCTTCAACATTCCTCAGATACTAATGTTTGAAAATTATTAATTGATTTATGAGAAATTAAATATATAAAATTATTTATAAAACTTCAGAAATACCCTTTAACTTCTGAAAGTTTCCCCTATGACATTAGTCGCTTTCTATCATAATTTTCCTCTAAGATTTCTTCATCTTATTATGTTTCTGGTTTTGCAGGAACTTTCATGATATATTTTTCATAATTTGAATTACTACTAAATCTTACATAAGGAAACGAATTTTTATGAGATCGAGATCGTAATTAAATAATCTCTTATTCAAGTACATTTTTACCAACAATTTCGAGATTTCCTACATCGTCAGGGATGGTTGGTATTAATTTCATAATAAGATCAGAATTTTCAGAAAGCTTTTTATTTAAAGCAGATTGAGATGTGAATGTACTAAAAGGTTTGAATTCAAGCTAACTTAAAGAAGATCTTCTAACAATTTCTATTTATGGAGATTTAGGATTGCCATAGATCTAATAATTTTTTTCAAATAAATCTACAAAAGACTTTGGTTTTATATTTGAGTCTTTTTTTCTTAATCCAAGACGCTATATGTTTTATTGATTAAAAATACCCAAAATTCATTGCCTTGTTTTTCTTCAATTGGTGTTAAAGCATCAAGTATCCTTTTCATTTCTTCTTTCATTCTATGTTATTCTATTCTATCTAGAAGTGATTGACCTGGTAATCTTTATATTTTTGATTCTAATTTAATTTTTGTCAAGTCCCAATCTTATTGAACCTAATCAAATGTTTCAATCACTCTTTCACATTTACTCATTTTTAAAGATTCCCCTTTTGACATTCTACTTTGTAATTATCTTGTTTTTTTTTCATTCTACATTTTTATATTAAATTATACATACTTCTACTTTATTCTTTTCAATCCTCTGTTAAATCTAAAAAATATGATCTTAAACTTGATCTTCATTTAAGATTACTTCTTAAAAGTCTCTAGTTTTTACTTTGTTTTTTTTTGATTAAATATCCTTACTAGATTATTCTATTACTTTATAATTGATTGCACATACCTTTTGAACTAAAGATCACTCTTTCTGTTTAATCATTTTATTACTAAGTTGAAGGAGTTGCTTATGAATTTGCAGTGACTCTTATTTATGCTGGTTTTCTATTTTATTGTTAGCTTCTTGATTTTTCAGCCAAAAATTGTTATACACTTCCAACAACTGTATATTTAATTATATTTCCTTTTGAATCTGATCTAGGTCCTTTCTCATGATCGGGTATTTTATCTAAAAGTTCTTTTGATCCACTAAAGAAATTTTGGTGAGTTGCTTCAACAGCTACAGGAGATACATGAGTTAAGAATTATGGTCTAACTCTGAAAAGATTCATAGTACTATCCTTACTTTCAATACCAACTTAGTTAAATTTTTTTTACATTTTTATTTATATTTTATGTAACATCCTAGATCAACTTCAGCTCATTATAATACTTGCAATTCTAAATATGGAAATGGTTGGCTATTGCATGAAGGGAAACAACAAGTAAATTTGAATGAAACTCCCGTTCCCACCTATGCTGAAATTGTTAAGAGTATGCAAGTATTAACAATTACTATTTATTTTAAAGGACTTTAGAAGAGCTGAAAAGCTTATTAAGAATAAATTAGTGGCTTAATAGTTTGGTTTAGAACAGTAAATAAAAGTGACAGAAGAAGAAAAATAAAGAAGAAAAATTGATAATAAGGTACCTCCTAAACCATTTCCTGTAAAAGAAAGTGAATATACAAAACCAGCATAAGGAATTAATGTTGGTATTTTTATTATTATAACGCGTATAGGATCACCAATATATGAAACATCTAACATGCTATATGGACAATTAAACCCAACAAAATTTGAATTAATTGAAAAGTTTTATCCAAGAGATGCTAAATTCACATAAGGATTTCAAGGACACACTTATAAATTTGATGGTCTTAATACTAGTGTTGCCTTTTCGAAAACCCATAAAGCATTAGATGAGTACTGATTTAAACTATAGTATATATTATAAGTTCATATATATATAATCATATAAATAATTATTAATTCATTTCTTTAGGAATATCAAAGTAATCTTGAATTTTATTAGACTTCATCAAATATTCATATAGCTTTTTAAATTCTTCTTAAATCTCTGGAAATCTAATAGCTTTTTGAGATATTATTTAGTAATTAATAGGTGAGTATATTGTGAGAGGATTATAAGGGGGACATTCCTCCAAAGCAATAAATGGGTTTTATTACCTAGACTAGATAATTTTTGTACCCATAACCATCTATGTAAATGCCCTCTTTTAAAGGATCAAATGAAGTGCCATACTTTTTTAAAAAATCTAGAAGAATTTATTTTTTATCATTTTGAGTGTAATGTTTGCACATATATATAGCAGCTAACATTATTGACAAACAAAATGAAGATATTCCTCCTACAATATTCATCTTGATATATGATACCTGTGTGAGCATCATTCAAATTTTTGGATTTGAGCAAATACTTTAAAATGAGCATTATATCTCTATACCAATAAAATCTAATTACCCAATCTTTAATTATTGTTGTTGAGGCAAATCCCAAATGTGGATTATTATATATATTGCTCCACTAATAAATCCAAGTTAAATCTACTTGTATGATTTTGCCTAAGATAATATTATTAAAATACCTGGATCTTCTTAGTCTAAATGGAAACTTTGCCAATTTTATTAAATGTAAGCATCATCATTATAAAACTCAGTTTTAGGATTCAACTCTAATTTTAATATTGGCATATGGCTTTGAATTAGCCTACAATTTTGAGATAATAGTACTTTGAATTAACTAAAAATTGTGTCTATTTTAATATCAAATTTATTGACTATAAAAAGTTAGCTATTTGATTATAACTCAGTGTTTATGTTCCCAAAATTCCTATATCAACATCACTTACATCTAAATCAAGTCCAGTTTCGAAAGATCCATAAGCATAAATGTTAAGGTCTGAATTCATGGAAATAATATAATGTAGTCTATTAAAGCATATTCGTTTTCTTATTTTATTTTAAAAACTTTTAACTTGTATGTTATTTACAAACTCATCTATGTCTTATGTTTTAGATTTATTTAAGTTTAATTGTTTATGTTTAATAGGTGTAGTTTATGTAGAATATGGATATTGCTTGTTTCCTACTTTTTCCATGTTATTGTAATTTTTCTTTTTGTATTTCTCCTTATTATTTTTTCTTAATAAACTTTTGTTCTTTTGATTATTCTCATCCTATTACAATAGACAGTCATCTGATTCTGATTAAGAATTCCCTGTTGTAGTACTTACAGCACCAATCTATATAATCTTATAAAATTACATGACCAAATTATCCATCCAAATCACTAGAATCTTTTTTGCATTTTTAGTTTATATTCTAATTCAAACTAGTAAATATTTATTATTTTTAAGAAGTTGTTTAAGACTTCATCATGTGAGAATTTTGAGGAGAACTAGAATTAAATTATTTCTATTTCATCTATTATTCAATTTAAGGTTATTATGGATGATATTTTTAAGTGAATGTTTAATTTTTTTGAGTTTTTTTCTATGAATCTACTTTATTTTTTTTGTTCTTAGGTTTTTTATGTGTTTTTTTATAAGTTTATGAACATTATTAAACAGTTGGTGGCAATTAAAATGCTTCAATATCACTTTAGTCTACTATCTACAATACTAAACTTATTTGAGAATATTAATCCTTATGATTGTGTTATTTAAGATTTTCTTAATATTCCTCTTCAAGAGCGTTTAAAGATAAGCTTATTATTTTTTTTATAAATTTAATTGAATCGAATTCATCATTCTTTCTTTTTAATTATGTTTCCATCTAGAACTTAGAAAACATTATAAATACATTTTCTCTTATAACTTTTTCTTACCCTAGGTCACATTCACTTGATATTTTTTCTTTTTAGCCTTCTAATTATCTGTTTTTATAAAGAAATGGTTAAGTTCTTCTATTTAATTCATCAAACTTGTTTTCACTAGTCTAGAAAGACTCACTTTAATTTAGCAAATAAGAAATCATTTATTAATTTATTATAATCTTTTAATGCTAATTAATTAATCATTCAAAGAGAAATTAGTTCATATAATTAAATATTATATGATCTGTAAGGTATGTTATTTAAATAAAGATAATATCATTAATAATTGTATAAAATAAAGTTTATTATATATTTAAATTTTATGTCATTTAATAAGAATTTTATATTTTTTGGACACTTCTTCGCTATTGTCAAAAGGATCATCAACTGTTGATAATCTTTTAATATAACCTAAAGTTGTGTTTCCGAATAGAAATGACCCAGATGATTAATGTTATGGTGATAACAATTGAGTACTAAATGAGGCTTTGCTTTTTTTCTTAACTAATCGACCTCTTGCAGATTATATTTTTAATCTTTATTTAAATTATTCCAATTCATCCAACATTTTTTAATCTAAAATCTTCCATTAAGGTTCTGTAAATTATTTTTCCTCTTGAAAATGATCATTCAACTTATAAAATTATTAGATTTATTGTGTTAATCTGATGTAATCAGGAATCAAATTATACACTTAAAAGAATATTGTAGATTGAAATGTTTAAAAATCAAGGATAAATTCCATAATAATCCTATTAATAAATATAATTAAAACTTTTCAAAGAATAAGTAAATTGCTATCACATCATTCCATATAAGTAATACAATCTCTCCAATTATTTCTTCCTGATGCTTGTCTAATGCAGATTTAATTATCTAATGATGAATTAAATAATTATACTGATGTATAAGTAAAAATAACTGTTAGTAGATTAATTGCTTTATAATAATTAGATTAATTTTCGATAAAACCTTGAATATTATTTAACATTACTGTCCAAAGTATATGTCTTTTGTGATTTGGCCATTTTTAGTAAGTGCAGACCATTGGCAAATCTTTGCAGCATTTCGAAATACATCATAATAAACATCTCTTTGTCTTGGTTCTTCTCCCTACAACCTATTTTGCTTAGGTTTACTTATAACGAAATCCATCCCAATCGAGTAGAGATTCAGAAAATTATTCACCATGCAGGAAATCATCCAATAGAACATGGCAAGTCGCCAGTATTTTGAGTTTTACTCTATATGTTACTTTATCAGGTAGAGTCTAAAAGAATTTCTGAAAAGTTTTCTTAATTGGTTATGGAGTACGACAAATCAATTATTATTATTATTAAGGGAATCCTTACATGAGTTATTTTAGATCTCCAATGTTTAGAAAGGGTTTACTATTTAAGATAGAACTATTAAATAGAGCTTTCTCAAAATCTGTTTATTATTTGAAGAATTTGCTAAACATTGTATAAATAATAATGATATTAAATATATATTTATAATTAATATTCTTTTATTCAATTACTCAATTACCAACATTAATAAATGAAAGGAATCTTAAAATAAATAAATTATTTACTTTGAATAAGCATATTAACGATGAAAGAATCAATTCCATAATGTGAAGTCCGAATTATGAATTCCACATTTCTAATTCCAGAGATCCATTGACTTCTAAATTTGAATATTTCTTCATCTTGATTTTTATATTTGCTATGAACCAAATGGCATCCAGAACAATGGTGACCACAGTTAGATAAAAAACCTCATTTATTTGAAATTATACATATCGTAATATTTTGTTCTCATGTTAATTTATTGAGTTACTAAGATAAAGTAAAATGAAAAGCACAGTTAAAAATACAGGACAATTGAAATCAAATTTGCTTAAGCAATTTATAATGCTCAAGTACTTGAATAGTTTCACCTCATCATACCACAATCGCTGTGCTGCAATTCTTGAGTGTTACATATCCAGATGGGATCGTTGCTCCGTTGTTATATCCGCTGATATACATTTTTATTTGTTTTTTTTAATTTATATTATGGATAAAAGAAAGTTGTTATTTGAGGGCAATTTGAAAAATAATTTCTAGGATTTCAATAATGACTTCAAAGATAATAAACTCAAAATCAATGATATCAAAAATAGAGACTAGTCTAATAAGGGAGTAACCACCAAGTATTTCAATTTGAAATGTTAGATAACCATACGAAGCAAATAATAAATCAAATGAATTGATCAATAAAACTAACTCTAGTTTTACAAACTATCAAGATAATGATGTATCCTATTTCAGAAAAAAAATCGAAGATTTATAATTTAGAGTTGACTCTTAAGACTTAAAATTAAAGGCAAAAGAAAAAGAATTACATCATCAACAATCTTAGATCAAATAATATATTCTTGAAATACATTAGATCCAAATTATAGAGTAAGATTACAAAGACTAAATAATTGCCTTAAACAATGAGCTCTCTTAATGGAAAGATAAATATTTTGCCAATCTCAAAGAATACTAATATAAATTAGCTACCATTACTAGATAATCATCATAGGATTAAAGTTCTTTGAAGAAAAAATACGAAGAAATCATAGAATAGCAACAAAAGGAGATGGAGTAAATTGAGTTAAGATTTGAAAATGAAAGAGATAATCTCTATAAAGCAATGGAATTATAAAATAAATCATAACATATTCATGACGAAATAAATGTAAGAAATCGTATAACTGATTATAGGAATTAATTTAAAAATATGATGAATTAGAAACTGAAAATATGGGATTAAGAGAAAAAATATTAGTTTTTGAAGCTAATTAAGATGAACTCAAATTTCATATTCAATAAATTTCAGGTAGATTATTAGAATAAGTAAATAAAAATGTTTAAGTACTATTTTATTTTGTATAATAGCTTGAATAATAGAAATAATAAGAAATCTAAAATTGTTAGAATTTATTGTTAGCAAAGGATAAACAAATTAATAATCTTTTAATATAAATTGAAGAATCAAAAAATGAAGAATAATATCTTGATTAAGAAAAATTGATGCAATTAGAAAATTTGAACAATTAATTAATTGAATAAAATTCCTAATTAGAGGATGAAAATTAAAAATTGAAAACTTAGATTTCAGATTAATTAGAGTAAGAAAATGAAGATCTAAAACTCATCATATAAAAATAGAAACAAGAAAATTTAAAAATATAATAGGATTTGAGTTAATATATATATGAAAAAAATTAACTTGAATAGCAAAATATTTCAGATGCAAATTTAAAATTAGAATAATTGTAAATTGAATTTAATGCAATACGTTAATAATTAGATTAAAAAGAATTAGAATGTGATTAATTAAGGCAACAGAATCTTACTCTCTAAAATAATATTTCTAATTAATAGATTTTTGGATATTAAAAAGATGAATTAATCGAATAAATTGAATCCTATGAAAGAGATATAAAAGAAAAAGATGAGGTGATATAATCATAAAGAATAAATTAAAAAGATTTTGAGAAGGTAATGTTTCAATATAGAGCAGAAAATAAAGAATATAAAACTAAAAATGAACTTTTGACAAACTAAAATGAAATATAAACATTGTAAATAGAAGAAATATTGAAAGCTAATTAATTGTTGTAAAAGTAGGTTGAAAATTTAACAAATGAAAACAAGTTTTATACACAAGAACTTCAAAATTTGTAAGAAACCCTCCAAAATTATATAAGAAAAGAAGAAAATAACAATTCATAAATTATGATAATAGAGAATTTGTAACACAATAACTCCACCTTTTAATAATAAAATTTTATGCTAGAACAAAAGGTAGCTGAAATGGAAGAATTTGAAAAAATAAATAAATTATATGAATAAGAAATGGCATAAAAATAAGAATTATATGAGTTACTTTCCCTTTAACTAAATGAAAAAGATATTCAATTGAAAAAATTTGAAAAAGATCTAGTTTTATAAAAACAACAATCGTAATCACTTTTTGAACAAAATTAAACTTTAGAGGAAGATCTAAGATTATGTCATTAATAATTAATTAAACTCAAAAATTTTTCTTAGAATACTTAAGAAGAGTAGTTCGAATTAACAAATAGAATTTTAGACTAGCAAACAAATTGTAGCACTCTACAAATAAAGTAAGGCTTTGAAATTAATAATGTCAATATATAGTAAAATCTCATAACACAGGATTACAAAGATCTACAAAATTAAAATGAGGAACTTTTATAAATTATAAAGGATTTTGATTTGCAATTAAGATCAGAAAAAGAATTAAATGAAAATCTAAATTTAAAAATTAAAAACATGCTACATGAATTTTAAGAGGAAAAGCTTAAATCTTTAGTATAAAAGGAAAAAGAAGTACAGCTTATGGAATAAAAAATATTTGAGGAATAAATTAGATAATTAAAAATAGAATTAACTGAATAAAAATTGTTGAATGAAAATTTACAACAAGTATTTAATTGTAATTTATAAATGGAAATTGAGAACAATAAAAAAGTTTTTGAATCTAAAATAAACCAATTACAATTAGAAAAAGATAAATTCAAATAAAAAACAATTGAAGCAATTTAGGAAAATATCAATTTATAAAATAAATTACAATAGTTTGAAACAGAATTTTTATCAAAACAACTAGAATTATCAAGAATCGATCCTAATTAGATAGCGGAATCTTATGAAAATGAGAATAGTCATAAATTTTAACTGGAATAGTCCCCAGACGGAAATCAATAATAAATAATTGAAAATGAAAAAAGTTAATAAATAGATAGAGAGTAAGGAGACGAAGTGTAAGATTAGGATATTATCAAAGAAGAAAGAAATTCTTCAAATTTACATCAAGATAGCTAAATTAAAAACTTAGAATAATAATTTGAAATCTAAAAATAAATTTAGATTCATTTGATTGATTAAGATTTAAGAGAATAAATTGTATCTTCCTTTTAATTAGGCTAATAAAATTTAGAATAACCAGGAAATAAAGAAACTATTTTCTCATAAATAATTGATAATATAGATCTAGAGGAACAATCGATCTAAACAAATCCAAAACCTGAACATGAGGAAATATTTGATGAAGAACTAAAACAAGGAGTTGATTTATAGCCTAAAGAGTTTGCCAAAAATTTAAATCAAGAAGATCC